TATATATACACACATGGGCATGCATAAATATACTAAACGACGGCTGTGTTAGAAATGCATCGAGCTTCCCCGAAAGTGATTCCGGTTCAAGCTCCGAGAGATTGGCCATCATGCAGCGCACCATCGACGAGAGCTCTGCCTGGAGCTCAGAAACCCAGAACCGATCACTTTGAGTGAAGCTCCTTGCGCCGGAATGCATGAAGTTGATCACTGGAGACTAGAGCCCTTTCGGCCTTTAGGCTAGGCGTTTGGGCCCATAGGCTTCGATAATAAAGTTGCATGCATCCTTAGATTGCCTTAGATGCTTTCCTGTTAGCTGCTGTTAGTCGGCATATTGCCAAACAGGCTGGAGCCAGAGGAACGTCGACGACCGAGCGTCCCAGAGGCCACCAGTAGGAAAACATTGTGACAGTGTTGTAACTGCGGCATGTACTCGAGATGTTGGCGCGACGGGGTTTAGAGGAGCTGCGCCTGCGAGCAAGTGGCGGTTTGAACATGCAGCCACTGCTTTTGCAGGTTCAAGATCGCCGGGCCTGGGAGTCAAGGACAAGTCCAGTGGAGGCAGTGAGATCTCGAGAACATCAGATTAACACGAACGATGTGTTATCTGTCTCGTCTAGTCGCTGTCTGTCAAGTTCTTGCAACACAGTGGTGAATGTTCGGATTCATTCTTCTTGTGATTGCTGTTCCCGTCGCTGTCGCCGTCGCTGTCGCTGTGGCTGCGGCGGTTGTTGTTGTTGTTGTTGTAACAGATGTTTTGGCAGGTTCGTCCTCCACGATGCCAGACGAGATCGTGGGGACCTTGGCAAGACCTGGCCCATTTCGCGGTCATATTTCCGCTATTTCGTTCCATCTCCTCTTCTTTTTGAGATAGCAGTGAGCAGTGGTAATTCAGCAATGGTTAACAACGCACTGGCGGGTAGTCCGATGAGTACTAAGAGTGCTTCGGCTTAGTGGCTTAGGTCAGTGCTCCCGCGCCGAAGAAATCTGAGAAGCAGTCAGCGAAGCAGGAGAGTGCTCCCGCATCGAGCCAGTCAACGAAGCTGTCCGCGAAGCAGGAGTATGCTAAGGAGGTTTTCGCTGCTTACAAGGATTTTCGATTTGATGTCTTTGTCGATGCCGATGGGGATGTGCACTTCCCAGACCCGGACCAGGCGGCTGAGACCGAGACTGCCCACCCCAAGTCGAAGGCCATGCCACTGCGTCGTGACGATTTGTTTGATTCTCAGGTAGATTCCGACCCGGAGGCTCTTTGGGAGGAAGCAGCCTTTGCGGCGATGGGGTTGGAGAGAGCTTGAAAGCCAGGTTTTGTGCCGGTTTTGCTATGGCAATTTTGGCTTCACCTCCGGTTGTGCAGCTGTGCTATAGATCCGGCTTCATTTAGGGCTTAGGCTTCCGTGCTGAGCCACTTTGTCTTTCGTGTTTCCGAGGATGCACGGCTTCTGGAGCATCGCCTGCGATAAAAGCTCTTTGCAGCAGTCTTTGCAGTCTGCCGAAGAGCATTGATTCAACCATTGATACTGTGCTATGCCAGCATCTCACTCACTCATGACTCATACAGACAAATAATACACCTTGCAAGCCTTGCCACATTAAGTCGCAGGACGTTGATGTCCCAGATTCCCCTGATGCACGAGGGGGCGATGGTCGTGGCGTGGTGGAGGCACCTGCTTTGGTTTTGGTTTTGGAGCTTTCCAGCCGACAGCATTGAATAGAAAACAGGACTTCTGCGCATCGCTGGTGGTGAAGGCGGCTGTCTAATGTCTTTTTGCAGCATACAGAAAAACCAGAAGATCACTATGTTCCAATTTTGTAATATATCACAACATGACATAAACATAGAACATTTGATGACTTCAATTTGCAGAAGCCCTGATGCTGTGCAGGACGTTGATGTTCCAGATCTTCTCGGCGAAGTTCATGACATATTGGAGGCAGCCGCTCTCTATTTTGCGCTTCCAAGGATGCAGAGGTTTTGTGCATTGGCATCGCTGAGCTGTCGTCGTAACTTCCCGTTTTAGGTTCCTAGCAGGTCCTGGCATGGTCATGTCTGGAGCCGGGAGTTGATAGGTTGAGTGTAAGTACAAGAATATTTCGCTCGGAAGAGTGCACAGTGTAGAGTCGAGTCTAGAGTTTAGAGTTTAGAGTTTAGNNAGTTTAGAGTGTAGTACAGTGTACAGTGTCAAAATGTTATAAAAGTAGTATTCTGCTATGTCTTGGTTTGGGTTTTGTTATTGTCTTTGCTTGCTCGAAAGACTGTTTGTGTTAGGGCTTTTAGGGCTTAGGCTTAGGCTTAGGGCTTGCGGCGGCTAGTTTAGCACGTTCGCTTGCGGGGTTGATAGGGTTGTACACGCTGTGTGAAGTGGTTTTATGGGGCATCTGTTTTATTCGCTCCCTTCTGTATTGGATGCAGCCGTCAAGTCGCAACATCGACAAGATGTGCAAGCTCTGACATTGCACCATGCCAGCATGTCGTATTCGCGACGTACAGCATGCCAAGCTTGCAGGACGTTGAGGCTCCAGATCTTCGTGGCCACGGCGACGATCTCGACATGCTGGAGGCACAGGGGGTCCATAATAGGTAGACTCAAGTAGATGGTGTACGGAAGATCAGCCTTGCAGGCTTTGCGTAGAATCGTAGAATCGTAAAATCTTTCTGGCCTAGCATATGTAAGGAAGTGAGTCATTCTTTTCGTGTTTGAGCTTAGAGGTTCGAGTCCAGAAACAGGGCCAAGGCTCCAATGTCGCGGGCTGGGATTCTGAAGCATTCATGACCTACCTACCTTATAATTAACCGATGTTTCCTCCGCGCCCTGCTGTCTCTATGAACAGATGCACCCAACCACGCCGCAATGCCATGATCAAAAGCCACAAAGCCACAAAGCCCATAGATTTCTGACACGACGTGCATGCCTGTACCCTTGAAAGCGATCATTGCCGGCGCAGCCAGCTACTGTGAAGGACCTTGGTGGTCCAGACCCCGGTGATGCAAACGCTGGTGATGGTCATCACATGCTGGAGGACTCAGATTGACAGTTGGTTCATGGTTTAGTGTGCCCTAGAAGCCAAGTGGACCTTGGGTCAAGCCTTGGAGGGATGAGGGCATGTCATATTGAAGGACAATATTTCGTTGCTCTGTTAGTGCTGTTGGTATTAGTGTCTAGGGAAGTCGAGGTGCAGGCTCTACTTCCTAGGTCCTGGGTCCCAAGTCCTAATCCTGGGTCCGAGGTGGGCATTTTCGAAGTCGCTAGTTGGGGTGGGACCTCTCTCTGTCTGTGTTTCTTTCCCTCGCCATCGTTTTCTCTTCTCTCCCTCCCTCCGATGCTCTATCTGCACAGGACCTGTTATCGCAAGAAGCAAGTGCGGAGGCCGGCCACTCAAGACCCAGCTTCACTAAGCCGGCAGGATTTGGAGATTTGGGACAGGTTTGTTTGCAATCACACCTGACATGTGTTCAGCATTGCTGGCTCTCGGGTTTTATGGGTCTTGAGTCTTGAGTCTTGCTAGTGTCGGTTCCAAAGG